ATTTCAAACACCACTCACAAAACTCAGCTGATTTCACTAAAAATCGGTACTTTAGTGACAATTGATAAGTAAAATACAATTTTTTCAACTTTCCGATGTTAGAAAGAATAATTTAAAAGTTGAAATTGTGAGTCCACTGTCAAACTTGCCGATCAGCCGCATCGGAATGATTGTGTGCATCTGTGTGTTTAATATGAGTGTATTGACTATTCATGCGTTCAAATGCTGCCTATATTAAACGTAGTGCAGTGCTAGAGGTCAACCGTCAATACGCATTAGCATTGACTCTCTATGCTTGGCTGGAGTGGTATTATAGTATGGTGTATGTCACTATGTGGTACAACTCTACTTTGCACGAAGAACTTGCGCATTGAGCGCTGTACAGCGAGTTTACGTGCTCTCATTGGCCGATCCGCCCGAGTGGCTTCGAATTTAAGTTCAATGGCAAAGTCAATACGTAATATTATGTCACACTCACACCACAGAGATTTTGACACGTCCTGCTTTAAACAAGTGACGCAATTCACACATAACTGACGCACACACGGCATTGCATATAAAATAGAAAAATCAAGGAACATTTCAGGAAAAATTCCAGTTTGTATCTTAAATATGACGAAAATAGTTAAGTAAAACTTAAAATTAAGTGACATACCTAAGTGAAATACTTAATTGAAAAAATCATAACAAATAGAGGGTTTGACTAAGCTATATTAATTTTGGTATACCGTTAAAAAACCCCGGAAAATTGCAAGCTTGCTCCACGCACAAATATCGTATAGCATTGAGTGGATGGAGAACACAGACCTGCCAACCAGTACGATTTAGTCGTATTTAGTACAATTTTTAGAAGCAAATACGACAGTATGATTTTCCTTAATAATTTTTTTTTTATTTTAAATTATTTTATTTTAAATTAATATTTTGTGTGTGCGTCCGCCATTTTCAATGGCAAAATGTCCATTCTGTCCTGTAAAGTATCCTACAAGCATCTCACATCGGCAATTTGGGGATGTTCATTGGTTCATCGAACACACCAGTCATGACGAAATCATGCATATTCAACCAATGATCAATAAAATAAAATCTTCCTTTAGGTAGAAACTGTAAGAGGCATTGGTCCGCGTAACAATCCGTGTTTATTTTCAAGAATACAACTTTTGTCAGTAAAATACAACTTTTGGGACTAAAGAATACAGTTTTTGAACTCCAGAGGTTGGCAGGTCTGAGAACAGAGATAGCCAATCTGAAGGGCCCGTGTCGGCTAGGCTAGGCGCCAACTTACGAATATGAGGCTGAGATCGGATGAACGATCTGTGGTGCATGCGCTAATTGTAAGCTAAAGTTCTACGTGCTTTAGGTCAAGGACTTCCTTAGTCAACGAACTCAACAAGTTCTGGTAGACAGCCAAGTCAGCCCATAGGCAGATGTTACGTCTAGAGTCTTGCAAGGCAGCGTCCTGGGACCACTTCTCTTCCTGGCGCACATTAACGATCTCCCAGAGTGCGTTAAGAGCTCCACAGCAAGACTATTTGCTGATGGCTGTGCGGTCTACAAGAGAATCACATCACCTGCACTACTTCAGGACGACTAAGATGCCTTGCAGAAGTGGGAAAGAAAGTGGCTAATGGAGTTCCATCCTTCCAAGTGCCAAGTTGTTTGTATAACAAGCACAAACCTACTCCTTCAACTTACTCCATCCATGGATTGATCCTTGATGAAGTTCACTCTGCCAAGAGTGTTGAAGGACAAAAAGCTGTCCTTCAACACACATGTTGACATTAGTGCTGTAGCTCGGAACCCAAAACCCGGACCCGGCCCGACCCGGCAATTTTCCAAATTTCTTAACGGGACCCGGAAAGGTCCGGTAACCCGGTGAGAGTTGGACTGAAATAATATTGACTAGATTCTATTTGAAAGCTACTACAAACACATCTTGTGTGATCTACCGACCTTGTCCTGAATGGAGGGCACATCGCTTATTTTGTTTATCATGCTGTCTGTGAGTCCAGATATAAGTCCCAGGTCAGCATAAATTATCACCCTTAATCCACTCCCTAAAAAGATGAAGCATAACGCTAGCTACATGTACATGTATGTAGGCATCCTAAAAATAGCTCATTTCCCTGTCAGAGTGCCCATACAACATGCTCTACTGTGATTGGTCAGTTTGTCTGCCAATTAAAAACTATAATCACAATGTAAGGCACATGATATAGCTTAACTGATATTTGCATATATTTTGGAATTTGCGCATAGCAGGACAAAGGCTGCTTGTTGAACCTTTGAACCTTTGAACCCTGTTCAAGGAAACCGCAGTGTAATGTTACACCCAGCTGGGCCCAAGCTGTCTGGCATGCATTAATCTTTGACAGGGAATGTTTTGTATTCTAAATTTCTGTGACATGATAGTGAAAGAGATATATCAGATGTGAATGAATTTTTGGGGGGATCGAGAGACACAATGAAAGAAACTTAAGAAAGAAAAGGAAACGTGAGAAAAATTACATTACGTAAATAATTCTGTACTTTTTTCTTTTTTTTTAAGAAAGAAGATCAAATTGATTTGAGGGGGGGGGGGGGAGGTTTATAACACATTCGGAAGATGAATAAATAGAATTGTAAAAAGATAAAGATGGAAGGAAGAATGATGATGAAGATAACCTTTTCCTTCTCATCTCTAAAGACTATCAACATTTCACAATCTTATCATTTTTTTCTTCTTTTTTCTTCTAATCTGGGCTAAATCTTTTTGTTCAATTTTGGTTGAGAATTAAGGCAGAGAGAGAATAAGAGAGAGAATGGACCCTTATAATTATCTTGTTTGCTAATTGAATCCGCTTGTCAGGAAGTATTTTGGTGATGGAATTACTCTTTAATTTAACTCTCTGCCGCCTTCATCTCAGCTCAGCCTCCACCTCAGGCATAACAAATTTTCACATACACACTCTCATACACATTATGTAAATTTGCCATTCACTCGTCTATCAGCTAGGTCAACAAACTTCATAATTTATGAATCGTCTGTTCTACTGTGCCAGCAATCACTGAACTTTAATTTATGCTGGTTTCACTCTCCGCCCACTCGGGGGAAACTTTCTGATTGGTCAGTACAGTAAGCTGATCAGTCACATCACTTGCAGGCAGGGCCAGGGCTAGGGAGATACATATACACACTTGAACACACAACACAAAATCTATGTGTGCTGTGTCTATTGCAAAGACAGGTCAACATATGTAAAAGATCGAGCCATCATGCTGTATAAATTTTGTTTACAGTTACTTTTGACAGGTTTTATGGTGATGAAAGATAAGTAGATAACGAACAATGAGCTATTTAAAAACTCTTTTTTACTGCCGGGTTTTTGTTACCGAGTTGATCTAATTCTGGCTACAGTTCGGCCCGGAACTGGTCCGGCCCGAAATGCTCAACCCGGCGGGTTGGAACCCGGTAAGCCTTCCGGGCTACAGCACTAGTTGACATCACCACCAAGAAGGCTAACTCCATTCAAGCTCTTCTCCAACCCAACTTCAACAGCTGTAGCCGCAAGATTAAAGAGGCAACATACAACACCTATGTGAGACCAATAGTGGAGTATGCAACAACTGCATGGGACCCACATACTCAACGAAACATCAAGAAGCTAGAGCAGGTCCAAAGAAGCAGCGCAAGATATGTCACCAGCACTTATGACCGCAGATCAAGCGTAACAGCCTTACTGAAGGATCTACAATGGCCAACTCTCCAGAGTAGGCGCTGCTAGAGTCGACTTGCTATGCTCTACAGAATCCGCTGGGACCTGGTAGATATCAAGTGGAAAGTGGAAACAACATCTCACTGAATCTACGTCCATCACAAGAGGTCATGGCTCACGTTTCTGGACTCTGTACTGCAGCTCCCAAGTGTACTTTTCCTCCTTCTTTCACCGCACCAGCAAAGAATGGAACTCTCTGAAGAAAGACCCAACAAAGTTTGGCTCACACGAGCCTTCAAAGTGGCATTGAAGGATGTCACCGTCTTGCATGCAGGCAAGCTACTTATTAACTGCACATCACTATACAATGTACATACCTGCACCAGAAATCTTGTCTGCGTACTATTGACTGTGCGCGCATCATCCCACAGAGCGTTACCTTCATTTCATGAAGCCTGCACTTTTCAGGAAGAAGAAGAAAAAAGAGTCAGTTTTTGAATGATATCGACGGTTCCGCTGAAATTGCATCTGGCTCCTCTGACCACCTCTATACATAGACTGAAGAACGTCCTATGGGTACTGTGAGGGGAGAGTGGCTGAACAGAGATGAGTGAGATGCGATGGGGTTTTTCACTTTTTACCAGTTCACGTTTTCATCATATCCAATTTGGCTGCAACACTACACTCGATCCTGTTATCTTTAAAATAGGGAGGCCAATACCCGGGCGTAAGGCTTCTTCGCCTACGATTTGTGCGCTCGTCATCCAAGTCAGATTTTGGCTAGATCCAAACATAGGGTGTCTGAACGATTTTTTAATTTTCCCTTTGTCCCATTATGGTTGGATAATTGATTTGTCTATTAAGAAGAACACATTTCAAATTTCAAGACTCACCGATGTCTCTATCAAAAGATACGGTCCACTGAAATCTAGGCAATATTCATCTAATTTTGGTCCAGAATGGACAAAAAATGTGGTACACGCCGAGTTATAATTTTCGCCCAACAGCTGCATTTATAGGCGATATGCAAAAGTAGGGGAAGGGTATTTTCAAACTTAAATCAAAACTCAAAAGAGGGGGTTTCCAGAAAAACATACACATAAAAAAAAAACTCAAGGGAGGGGGGGGGGGGGTTTAACCCCAACCCCCCCCCCCTCCCTCCTGCGTACGTGCCTGCTGGGAAGCATATAGATATAGATAATGATGTTTCATATTGTTTCACAGATAACATGGCGACGAAGCATGCTTGTTGGACGTCTGCCTCAAGTACAGATGGAGGAGAGGGAATTACTCTTCAGTCATCCCAGGAACATGATGAAGGTATGGAGTGTTTCAATGATAATCGAGTTCAGTATATATTTATATGCTCTTTCTCATCTTATCTTGAAATAAATGCCCCAGTGGGTGTGATTTCTTTTGTTTTTTGTTTGTGTTGCTTTGAGACTGAAGTTTGTTTATATTCATGAATCAGAACGTTAAACATTAAAATTTCAAAGGTGTGAAGAGTAGACCTATTGCAAGTCTGAAAAACTTTAAACACCTTAAAAAGGAGCTGGACCTTATAGATGGTACCTCTAGCTAGAACATGAGTTGTGCAAAAACAGGAAATTGAGGTGATCCCTTACACCTTTAGATAAAAATAGTTAGGAAGGCTCTCTCTCAAAACAAGAGAAGAATACCGTAAATAGGCCTATAAAGATAATTTAGTCTCTGCACTGATTAAAAAAATTAATATAAAAGATTTATTCAATACACTGAACAAAGTATTGTGATTCATGAATGTTAGGCATGTGCAATTGAAAATTTAAAGGGAGATTGCTGGCAGTTTCCATGTTCAGAAGGTCATATTTCGCTGACACCAGACTTGACACCAGGCTTGGTGGAAGTACCATTGATGGGTGTACAAGTCTTGCATACAGCAAATCGTAGTTCCATCAAAAAATACCCCACCCCTAGTCTTTCAGAGAATGTAAAATATGTAAGATAATGGCTTTACCATATAAGGATGGGTGGAATAAGCAGAGCATCACATAAGGCCTGTTGCTGATAAAACTGAAGGTGATTGACAACACTTATTATTGGGTAAATGCCCAAATGGTGTCAAATTCCCCAGTGAGAGCCCACTACAATGCATCTCTTATATACAACCTTCATTCTATCACCTTACACATCAAATCATGAAGAAGAAAACAAATTAGTAAGATTTATTAAAAACAAGTCGATCCACTTTATTTGCACCAATACAACCCGGCTCTTAACAGATGCTTAATACATAAATATTCAAAAACACAATTTACATATTCATCAATAACAAAAGTATCCACTTCACTCTGTATTGTAGAAATGATAAGTGTAATGATCAAGAATTTTAATGATTTTTATTTTGACATGTACAGGAAACATCAGTATCAAGGAGGAAGGAGAAGTTGGGAAGGAGACGTGTCTTTCCATTCCAGGTTCAAAAGGATTGAGATATGAGGGTCAGCTTGTAACTCATGATGGTATGCTATAGGTTCTTGAAGGAAAATCAAACATTGAGATATGAGGGTCAGCTTGTAACTCATAACGGTATGCTATAGGTTCTTGAAGGAAAATCAAACATTGGGAGATGAGGGTCAGCTTGTAACTCATAACGGTATGCTATAGGTTCTTGAAGGAAAATCAGACATTGGGAGATGAGGGTCAGCTTGTAACTCATAACGGTATGCTATAGGTTCTTGAAGGAAAATCAAACATTGAGATATGAGGGTCAGCTTGTAACTCATAACGGTATGCTATAGGTTCTTGAAGGAAAATCAAACATTGAGATATGAGGGTCAGCTTGTCACTCATAACGGTATGCTATAGGTTCTTGAAGGAAAATCAAACATTGGGAGATGAGGGTCAGCTTGTAACTCATAACGGTATGCTATAGGTTCTTGAAGGAAAATCAAACATTGAGATATGAGGGTCAGCTTGTAACTCATAACGGTATGCTATAGGTTCTTGAAGGAAAATCAAACATTGGGAGATGAGGGTCAGCTTGTAACTCATAACGGTATGCTATAGGTTCTTGAAGGAAAATCAAACATTGGGAGATGAGGGTCAGCTTGTAACTCATGGGGGTATGCTATAGGTTCTTGAAGGAAAATCAAACATTGAGATATGAGGGTCAGCTTGTAACTCATGGGGGTATGCTATAGGTTCTTGAAGGAAAATCAAACATTGAGATATGATGGTCAGCTTGTAACTCATAACGGTATGCTATAGGTTCTTGAAGGAAAATCAAACATTGGGAGATGAGGGTCAGCTTGTAACTCATGATGGTATGCTATAGGTTCTTGAAGGAAAATCTAACAATAATAGCAAATTGCTCTGAGAGAAAGCAAAAAAATTGGATAATAGGATTGGTGAAAGTTAGAACAACATCGTACAAGAAATTTGAAAGTTATGAGTGTTTAAAGTATGATATCACTAAGTCAAAGCAAATCTCAAAATTGGGCTATTTGATTTGACTTTAGTGCACTAATACAAATATATTTTGTATAATATAATATTAAAGGTTTTCTAAAAAAAAAAGACACTCCCAAGTCATATGTTTTGAAAAATTGATGTTTTAGTCATTTTGTGTGTTGGAACAAATGGGATAGTTGTCCAGCAGTTCATCATAGTGACTTTACAAATTCAGCCTATTTGAAGTGCCTATGCATATGTTTACAAATTACAACTTTCGATAATGCATTATCATAACTTTCTTATTTTGTTTCCAATTTCTTCCAAACTTTCACCCGTCTGCTTCTCAGATTTGTCTACTTTCTTTTAGAGTAGTTTGCTATCAGGGTTGAGTATCACTTAAAAGGAAAATCAAACCTTAAATCGTTTGAACCCACTAAAAAATGCTTGCAAAGTCCAATAAAATTTTTAAAAAATGAAAATATCCATATAGATCTAATTGCATACATTTATAGATCTATGTCCTTCAATGTTCTTTTCCCTCTGTTTCATTACCATGACATTCATTCTTGGGAGTTATTGGCATATCTTATTTTATTTTGCTATAAAATTCATTCCTCTCTTTATAGCCAATAATAAGTAACCAGATTAAATTTTACTTCTCAAATGATATAAAAATATATTTAATGTGTTCATAACAGGCCTGGTCTTCACCATCAAACAAGAAGTTGACACTGACATGTTTGAATCCCTCTCAAGTACAGAAGGACAAGACCCATCGACTGAACAAGGTATCATGAAGTTATCAAGATAATTCTTTTGTACAAATGCGCGTAGGCCTGAGGGTGGTCAACAACCCCAAAACATAAAAACAAAACAAAACAAATCAAAGGCAAGCATTGCATAAAGTCCAATGTGGTTGGCCTCTGGGGTTTATAGATGCACTCTGGCGCAATTCCTTATTTTAAAGCATTTCAAACAAATTTTGTACCTCATATTATTGAATGGTTTTGGGTGGGAATGAACATTAATCTGTTACTGAATTTGTTAAAACCCCTTGTGGACCCGACACAGAAGTAAATTAGTTAAAGGTAATACAAAGTTTGGGGAAATTTTGAAAATGGCTGGATAGCCATTCTTTAAATTGTTGATATATTTGGATGCCCCTGAGGATGTATTATAAGCACTAGAAAATATAGCCCCTAAGCACTTAATTAAATATCAAAACTTACCGGTGCTCCCCGTAAATTATGATAAATTTCAAATAGTGCCTATACGGCCATCCAGTGGTACCTGCAACCATGAAAATCTCAGCATATGCAGTTGTGATATATAATTTCCAAACGGGAATAGCCGATCGGTCGATTTTAGTCAAGAAACATAATATCTTGACCTTGAGAGAGAGTTATACACAGTGTGTGCGGGCAAGTACAGAATCCAAAGACCGGTGTAATAGTATATTTGTAAAGTGCTTAGAGACATTGTATTAAGCGCTATATAAAAGCTAAATATTATTATTATTATCATTATTTATAATTTCATCACTTTAGACTCTAACAATCACTAAATATTGTAGGATCGCATATGCTTCCAATATGTTCATAACCCCCATACAAAAATTTTGTATTACCTTTAAGATACAATGAAGATATTAACTACTGGGGTATCGTTTCACAAAATCGTCAACAGTACAAATTCACAGACATCCAATTGAATATTTGTAAATGTTAAATTCAGTACACACATTTTGATTGGTTGTGCAACAAAGCGCTACAGGTACTTATTACAATTTCGTTGAAACACTGCCCAGTTTTCTGTTTTGAATGAATTAGTAATTCATTGTTGAGGTTGGCTTGAGGAAGACTAAAATTTAAAGCATGATGACTAGGCCTATATTCAGAAGGAAGGTAACGACTTACTATTAGTAAATAGCATTTTCTCTATGTTCCAGTTTAATATCTTTAACATCCAGTTGCACCACAAGCATTGACATGGTCTGAAAAATAGTTAAAAATCCTCCAATAACTAGTAAAAGCACAGCTATTAAAAAGAATGATGTTGAACATTTCTTCTTGATTTCCTTTTCTTATAGAAATAGTCTATGCCATCATAAAGCAAGAAGACAAAGAAGAGATATTTGAACCTATTACACCTCACGGTGAAGGAGGAGGAGAAACTGAGCAATCAATTCCTGAAGGTATGATCAACAACACCCCCCCCCCCCCCCCCGCCCCCCAGGACAATATTTCTTTCATTTTAATGGTAAATGGATTCCTTAAAGGGAAAGTCCATCCTGATATTAATTTGTTTAAAATAAGATCCCCCTAAAAAGAGAGAAGCAAATAAGGGTTAGGTATCCCTTAAAAGGAAAATCTAACCATAAATTGTTTGAGCGAAACAGAAAGTATGAATGTTTGTCGTGAAAAAGGAGGATGTATACTTGGGGTACACTCCTGCTAGCAAAGTCCAATTAAATTAAATCTATTTACATACATCTATAGATGTACTGCAATTTTATTTTCCCTCTGTTTCATACAATGACATTCATTCTTGTGAGTTATTGGCACACCATATTTTATTTTCTATAAAATGCATTCTTCTCTTTGTAGCCAATATTAAGTAACCAGGTCAAATTTTACTTCTCAGATGATATAAAAAATATCTTTACTTTGTTCATAACAGGCCTGGTCTTCACCATCAAACAAGAAGTTGACACTGACATGTTTGAATCCCTCTCAAGTACAGAAGGACAAGACCCATCGACTGAACAAGGTATCATGAAGTTATCAAGATAATTCTTTTGTACAAATGCGCTTAGGCCTGAGGGTGGTCAACAACCTAAAAACCTAAAAACAAAACAAAACAAATCAAAATCTAAAATTGGAACATGAAAGGAGTATGTAGCCTACTGATGCATGCATTGCGTGAAGTCCAATGTGGTTGGCCTCTGGGGTTTGTAGATGCACTCTGGTGCAATCCTTATTTTAAAGCATATCAAACAAATTTTGTACCTCATATTATTGAAAGTTTTAGGGTGGGAATGAACATTAATCTGTTGCTGAATGTGTTAGAACCCCTTGTAGACCAGACAGTGACGTAAATTAGTTTAAGGTAAACACAAAGTTTTGGGAAATTTTGAAAATGGCTGGATAGCTATTCTTTAAAATTTCGATATATTTTGATGCCCCTGAGGATGTATTATAAGCACTAGAAAATATAGCCCCTAAACACTTCTGCTTTCGAGAAAAATTGAATATCAAAATTTACCAGTGCTCCCAGTAAATTTTGATGAATTTCAAATAGCACCTTACAGCCATCCAATGGTAGCTGCCACCATGAAATTCTCAGAATGTGCAGTTGTGATATATAGTTTCCAAACGGGAATAGCCGATCGGTCGAGTTTAGTAAAGAAAAATTGTTTTTATGCTAAATTAATATCTTGGCCTTGAGAGAGAGAGCTATGCAGCATAGAGAGTTTATTATTTACAATTTCAATTTCATCACTTTAGATTCGATTTTAACCGCAACAACAATCTCTGAATATTGTAGGATCGCACATGCTTCAAATATTTTCATGACCCCATCCCAAAACTTTGTATTACCTAAGATACAATGATGGTATTAACTACTGGGGTATCGTTTCACAAAATCGTCAGCAGTACAAGTTCACTGACAACCAATTGAACAACATGTATGCGTTATATTCAGTACACGCATTTCGATGGGTTGTGCAACAAAGCGCTACCGGTACTTATTACAGTTTTGTTGAAATGCTGCCCTGTTTTATGTTTTGAATGAATTAGTAATTAATTCATTGTTGAGCTTGGCTTGAGAAAGACTAAAATTTAAAGCATGTTAACTAGGCCTATATTCAGAAGGAAGGGAACAACTTCATTTAATATTAGCATTTTCTCTATGTTCCAGTTTAATATCTTGAACATCCAGTTGCACCACAAGCATTGACATGGTCTGAAAATAGTTCACAATTCTCCAATAATTAGCAAATGCACAGCTATTAAAAAGAATGATATTGAACATTTCTTCTTGATTTCCTTTTCTTATAGAAATGGTCAATTCCACCATAAAGCAAGAAGACAAAGAAGAGATATTTGAACCTATTACAACTCAGGGTGAAGGAGGAGGAGAAACTGAGCAATCAATTCCTGAAGGTATGATCAACATTCTTTCATTTTAAAGGCAAATCAAATCCTTAAAGTCCATTCTGATATTAATTTAAAAAAAAAAAAATCCCCCCAATAAGAGAGAAACAAATCAGGGTTAAGTATCCCTTAAAAGGAAAATCAACCTTCATATTTTAACAGGCTAGACCCAACAGTAATTAAAATATGGCTAGGTGAGCTTTTGTTTTTTTAAACGGGAATTTTGATTGAATGTACATTATATATACAAAATGTACTAAAATAGGTTTTTGCGGCCAATTTCAGACTTTTGTCATTCAAATTCATATTCCGAGCATTTGAATTCGTGCAATTCGCACTCGCAGCGTTGAATCAGCTTTCAAATTCAAAATCCGTCATTCAAATTCACTATCCGTGCAATGAAGGTTCATATCACTGGATCCAAAATGACAGTCGGTTGCTTCATCCTTTCAACTCATCAAATATTGTACAAATATCACACTTTTCGTGGCATATTCAAAATATATAAATGCACATACCAAGATATGCCTAAGATAAGACAATTTCAAAAGTTTTGTTTATTTGGTGGTGGAATCGGTGTTATGTCTGAGTATTGTAAAATTGTGTATGCTGTTCTTAGGATGGGTGAAGTATACTTGTTCTTGTAGGGGGTGTTATCCTTTTTTTTTTCATGGAAAACTGATGTATTGTCATGACCTGATAATCAATATTTAGCAATTTTATGTGAGTAAAATCACCCAAATTTCAAACAATCATGTGTGCATGCTTCCGCGCAGTGTTGGCATGCCGTTTTATTTTCGATTCATAGTGCCACTTAGGAAATTACTGATTTATTCCAAAAATTAGTGATTTTGAGCCTTGTGATTACTGATTTTCTGTTCTGGAGGTTGGCAGCTCTGTTTGTATTGTTCCCATGTTCTCAAACATGCATAGCCTAGGCTTTTACGTTGATATGTTTTACAGTATGTAATAATCAATATTAAATTAATGTTTTTCTGATAATTTTCATGCAGTGCAAGTAAATCATACGTAAGCTTACGTAAGTAATTCATACAATGCAAGTAAATCCATACATTGAGAGAGACAATTACAATTACAGTTTAGTCCTGAAGTTCATACACCCCAAGAGAGGCGTAGCACAAGAAAACACTGTAGGCAGGTAAGCCTACATGTAAGTCTATGCGTGGGGTGGGGGGGGGGTATGAGTTGACTGATTCTGAAATTTGTTGTGCGAAATATCAGATAGCATATCAATGAATAATTTAACACCAATTTCAGGTGTTAAAAAACTTATTTCATGATGATAGCAGACAAAATTGACAGATTTTGACAGGTTTCGAGACAGAAATTTGCATATAAAATTTTATGCCAATTTATGATGTCATTAATAGTTGAAGACAATAAAATAATTTTGTCTACCTATTGCTGTATGATGTGCAAAGATCGTTTATTAATTTGGTGGAGATCAGATTTATATCTGCTGAGAACTGGTAAAATATAAGCGCATAATTCATAGACCCTAAGAAAGCGTTCAAAACAAGAAAAACTGCCATTTTACATATCTTCAAATAAGGGGCAAAAAAATAATGTCTAAATGAAATTTTTCTTGGGAACATCTTTTTTTCTCTGATGAAATGGATCACAATGAACAAAATGACACCCAAGAAGTAGGATCATAGGGGGGGGGGGGGGGTGCACGGTAGCCCCTCTGGCCCATGGACTAATGGCGCTCATATCTGTCAGACTTGACACTCCTGGTACTCCTGATTATTACCATGGCTTTAATTTTCTTCTATTTTGTAACAACTTTTGTCTCTTGCAATATGATTTAAGCTAAACTATAATTGGAAGATCACCTTTTCCTTGCTGAAGAAAGGTCGCCAACTTGATGGCTACGGTCTATTTCTTTCTTCTTCACAAACGAGAGTATTGGTATTTTTTCCATGCTCCAAAGGTTCTTTTGCAGCTGTTTTGAGAATACTGCTCTTATAAACTTGGCATTTCAGGTTTGCAATTTGTTTGAGGCTGTTATCAGTTCACTTGGATGTTTGATGGCTGTCTCCTTCTCATTCACCTTCATCTCGACATCCATCAAGGTTGATTTTGCCTTCTCTGATGAGGTGTGAAGGTACTGAAATTGTTGCGAGTTCATCACAAACTTCAGTTATTTTAATATCAGACTTTCTGAGACTTTCAATAGTTATGAAGCGTTGATCATGATGATCAAGTTTGTGGTGAATTTCATCAAATTATTTGAAATTTCATGTAATTTGCTACTACCATTGTTTGAGAGTGCCTCCTTGGAGTCATTAATGTCTAGAAGCTCCTTATGCTATTGCTGTCTGTTTGGGAGGCATTGTAGTACTACTAGCTAGCCTAGCCCTATATAGGGTCGACACTAATTACTACGTCACCACAATCACGATTATCACACCGGTATTAGTATCAATGCATGTACGCAGTTCACTGAACGTTTCATCAAGTATGGGACCGTAGTAGATTATTTCGAAGATCCAACAATATCTATCAAGTATCAACAGTCTGCACAAGAATGGTAGCTAAATTCAATATTATCGATTCATATGTATTACCATTCCGTATTCAGCACCCATTCATTCATTATGGTAAACGGATTTTGCAGTTCTCTTCCTCCTTATTGGCAATATATTCTTGAAGAAAGTAATTTTATCGTCCAAGTTTTAACAGGAGTCTGCCAGTCATATACCGTGTACATGATAAAAAATACCCCTAACTTTCTTAATTTCTGGATGTCTGCCCAACAGTTTAAACCGAATTTGGATAAAATCTTTAATATCAACAAAACTGCTGGCAAGTTCCAGAGTTCTGTTTAGGACCAGATATGGTTTAATTCATTTTCTTTGACTTACACACTATATGAAAGATTTCAATGTATCCTGTCAAAATTGATGTATGCGAAGTTGACTGTATTGAAGGTTTTAACCATTACATGATAGTCTGCATCTAGGCAGACTGGATACGCCATGTGATATTTCTTTACTCTATAGGGATTTTTAATTCTGGCATTTACCAGAGCTCGGCCTTCTCTTCAATAAGGATGTAATTACTTTCTTTTCCTCCCCAGAGTTGGACAATGGACAAGACAATAAACACCCACATATAACATCATGCAGTGGAGAGAAGTCCCATCTGTGTTTACATTGCAGTAAGACATTTACAGATGAGAACACTCTTATACTACATCAGAAAACACACCAGGGCGAGTATGAGCTAAGAAGCCACCCTAGAACACAAACTGGAGGGAAAATTTTCAACAGGGGAGAAAAGCCTTATCAACGTCCCAATTGTGATAAAGGATTTCCTGAAAAGAATAATCTTAATCGTCACCTTAGAACACATACAGGAGGGAAACCATTTAAGTGTTCTCAGTGTGATAAGGGATTTTCTGTAAAGACTAATCTTACTGCCCACCTTAGAACACATACAGGAGAGAAACCCTTTAAGTGTCCCCATTGTGATAAGACATTTTCTGTAAAGACTATTCTCACTAACCACCTTAGAACACATACAGGAGAGAAACCATTTAAGTGTTCTCAGTGTGATAAGACATTTTCTGTAAAGACTATTCTTACTGTCCACCTTAGAACACATACAGGAGAGAAACCCTTTAAGTGTCCCCATTGTGATAAGACATTTGCTCAAAAGTCTGTTCTTACTAACCACCTTAGAACACATACAGGAGAGAAACCCTTTAAGTGTCCCCATTGTGATAAGACATTTTCTCAAAGAAGTCACCTTACTAGACATTTAAGAACACACAGCCTCAACGAAAAAGCCTCAACGATGTTCCCATCGTGATAAGACGTTTTCTCAAAAGAATGAGCTTACTAGCCACCTTAGAACACATACACAAGAGAAACCTTTCATCTTTTCCCAGTGTGACAAGGCTTTTACTTGCCAAAGTAATCTAGGAAAGCATCTAAGGACGCATACAGGAGAAAAGCCTTTCACTGTTCCTATTGTGAAAAGGGTTTTTCTGAAAGAAGTATTTTGGATGGGATTATATTTAAAAAAAAACATATTAATGAGTAAATTAACATCTTTGCTGCATTTCATAGGACCTTTAATAGACACCTTAGAACACATACAGGAGAGAAACCATTTAAGTGTTCCCAGTGTGATAAGACATTTTTTGTAAAGACTAATCTTACTGCCCACCTTAGAACACAAACAGGAGAGAAAACCTTTAAGTGTTCCCAGTTTGATAAGGTTTTTACTTGCTAAAGTTATCTTACTACCAATTTAAGAACACACAGTGGAGAAAAGCCTTATCGATGTCCCAATTGTGGTAAAGGATTTCCTGAAAAGACTATTCTTGCTGCCCACCTTAGAACACATACAGGAGAGAAACCCTTTATATGTTCCTAGTTTGATAAGGGTTTTCCCTATAAAAGTACCCTATATAGACATTTAAGAACACACAGCCTCGATGAAGAGCCTCATCAATGTCCCAATTGTGATAAAGGACTTCCTGAAAAGAATAATCTTACTCCTGACCTTAGAACACATACAGGAGAGAAACCATTTAAGTGTTCTCAGTGTGATAAGGGGCTTTCTGTAAAGACTATTCTTGCTGCCCACCTTAGAACACATACAGGAGAGAAACCCTTTAAGTGTTCCAAGTGTGATAAGGTTTTTACTTTCCAAAGTTATCTTACTACCCATTTAAGAACACATACAGGAGAGAAACCCTTTAATTGTCCCCATTGTGATAAGACATTTTCTCGAAAGGCTATTCTTACTAACCACCTTAGAACACATACAGGAGAGAAATCATTTAAGTGTCCCCATTGTGATAAGACATTTTCTCAAAAGACTAGTCTTACTACCCACTTTAGAACACATACAGGGGAGAAACCCTTTAAATGTTCCTAGTGTGATAAGGGTTTTCTCTATAAAAGTACACTCATTAGACATTTAAGAACACATAGCCTCGATGAAGAGCCTCGATGAAGAGCCTCGTCGATGCTACCATTGTGATAAGAGATTTTCTCAACAAAGTACTCTTACATGTACCTCTCATGTAAGGACATACATGAGAAAAGCCTTATCAATTTTCCAAGTGTGATAAGGGTTTTTCTCAAAAGGCTAGGCTTACTAACCACCTTAGAACACATACAGGAGAGAAACCCTTTAAGGATTCCAATTTGTGATACAAGTTTTTCTCCAAGAAGTACCCTTATTTGACTTTTAAGAACACACAGTGGAGAAAAGCCTTATCGATGTTACCATTACGATACCAGTTTTTCTCAACAAGGTGATCTTAATTTTCATATTAGGACACATACATGTACTAGAAAAAAAAAATGAAAATGTTTCGATTGTAATATGAGATTTCTATCAATTGGATGTTATTAGCCAGCTTGGATATATATTACAGGTAGGAAACCCTTTAATTGATCCGTTTGTGATACAGCTTTTTGTGAACAAGGTCATCTAACTTGTCATGTTAGACACACACACACAAGAGAAAAACCTTATAAATGTAGTGATTGTAATAAGAGATTTTTTTTTATAAAAGGATGTTACTAGCCACCGTAGAACACATACAAGAGAGAAACTCGTCAAGCGTTCCTAATAAAATAAGGATTTTCTTATGAATGTGAGCTCACAAGGCATATAAGAACATAAATGTTCAGATTGTATTAAAGGCACACTGCCATACTTGTAGCTACTTGCTCCCTCTATATAGAAAACTTCCCTAATCGGTGCCTGTTGGTCCCCCATGATCCTCTTTTTCTTATGTTAAATGAGAGCTGAGTTAATGAGATAGCCACCTGTCACAGTGACCTCGATGGCTCTCTGTGTGGTCTAATCCCTTCTGGCCCAGTAGTGGTGACGATCTTTAAGAGATTTTCTTTTAACAATAATCTTACTAGTTACTGGAGAAGAGCCATTTAAATGTTTACTTTGTTCTAAAAAGGGATTTTATCGTTTATACAGTGAATGATCTTGCTAATTGACTATTAACACACAGAGTAAAAATGCCACATAAATATTATCATTAGAACAGATGGATGGATTACTAACAAACTCATGACATGTGTGTATCTTGCAGAGCCAATGAACTGATTAGATTTGAGGGTCATGAGGTCAAAGATCAAAGGGTCATACATGTATATCAAAAAAGAGCTTGTAATCACGATATTCTGAGAACCTGTTAATGTATTACAATCAAACTTGAATATTTTAAATTGTTTTTTTTTTTGTTAGTAAAATCGCTCTATTACCCCGGGGGGAGTTGAGGTGAGGAGCCCCTGAAAGCTCAGGGGTTTTAGGCATTTAATTATCATGGTCAGATATTGTATTTGTGCCAGGGGGCTGAGCCCCTTGAAGCTCAGGTTTTTTTAGGCATTTCATTAAAGTCAGATGACTTGAGGGGCCCATCTTAGGGCCCTGGTGGGGGCTGAAGGCCTGACTGTAAATTTTGGATTTTGATATTTTCCAACAAACGCACTTACAAAAGAAATTGAGAAAAAATCCCAGAAAATCGTGTCATTTCAGCAACATTTGTAAATCTCTAGAGGTATCGAATGAGAAATAAACCTTGTTTGAATATTATTTGGGGGCGGGGGGAAGGGGGCAACTGCCCCAAGCCCCACCCCAACCCGTCAGTACGCCAGTGTTGAGGGGATCATGTCTTCTCATCCATATGATAAAAAACATACACTCTTTTCCATTCCTCTCACATAATTTCCACGATATGCGCCTATTGCTATTTTCAAATCCTCCATCGATAAATATAGGGGCATGCAGAATATTTAGGAAATTCAATTTCTGTTTACTCTCCTTTTCTTTGGATAGAATATAATTTTTGTTGTGATTCAATTTTTATTGTATTTTTGGTTAAAAAATACCTACCATTTTCACTCCTTTACCAGTGATTTGTTTTTTGTGGAGCGAAAATGCGTTTTACCCCACCCCCCACATTTTTCCCTGCCCCCCCCCCTCGTCACCTCTGGCGCCTCTGCTACATATAAATGTCCAAAATTAGGAACCTTAGAACACATACAGGAGAGAAATCTTTTAAGGGGTAACCTCGCTAGTCTTAAGGACTACAATTCATAACGTGTAACTTCCTATACATGAAGAAGCGCTATTAATAAAACGGAAAGGAGGTCACAATTTGTAATGTCATAAGGACCGTTATTCATAAGGACCGCTATTTATAGCGTGAGATAAGGGTTGCTATTCATTATTTATATTGAGGGTCATTACTTGTAAGGACAGGCCTCTACTCATAATACCAAATGAGGGTCGCTATTCATGAACATGAAGAAGGGGCGCTATTCATAATTTACAGTGGGAGTCACTACTCATAAGGACCGCTATTCGTAATTTATATTGGGGGTCACTACTCATAAGGACCGCTATACATAATACAAAATGAGGGTGAAATGTGTAAGACTATGTTGATGTATATATTTTCAGTATCATGAAAGTAGATTTCAGCGTCATGAATTCATGTAGCAAAATTGTGTGTACTGTGAATTTATCACAAAACTTCAGGAGGGGGGGGGGGGGATGAAATGGCATGCTTGAAATAGGATTTCATTTTGCAAGCTAAATGTACCCCCAACTTTTTTGGTACATGCACTTCATAAATGATCAATTTCAATTATTCTACTCTCAATCCTCCCTCTCTCTCTCACATGGTGCACCCGCAGGCCTACTCATTGTATATCCTATTTTCGGATCGAGGAAGCGATATCTTTTCTCGTATATGATGTCACGTTTTCCCCCAAGAAGACATTTGAAGGGATAGTATTTATTTTTGTAAGTTCACTGTAGAAAATATATTTCTAGATAGAATGTAACATAGATACCGGTATTGATATTTTTCTTTTGTATCTTTTATCAGATTTTTAATGATTTTTGTCTCGCCTGCGTAGCAAAAAGCGAGACATAGGCGCCGCTTTTCCGGTGATTGCGACGGCGGCGGCGTCAACTTCAAAAACTTAACCTAAGGTTAAGTTTTTGAATCTTTGATATAATTTTTAAAGTATATGTTCTTAGTCAATGAAACTTTGACTATAGGGTAATCAAGTATCCCCAATCATGTGAGTAGAATTTCAGATCACAAAGTCAAGGTCAAAGGTCATTTCAGGTCAATAGACTTGGACTATGTTGTAGCATCATCATCGA